ATTTTTATTTCATATTGTTAACAACTTTTCAAAACGTGGCATTCTACTTGTGTTTACCATGATATTTTTGACTCGATTGAAGTGAATAAATATTTATGTGAAAACTGTTAATGTTTGTCTGACATTATCAGACTCAAAATGTGTACTTCCGTCTTATGTCACAAACAGTCTGTAGTACTAATGATACATTTTCATTAGCATAATATTTCGTTTTATTTTCGAACGGATAACATCCATATGCCTTGTAATATATGTACGAAAAATAGGATGAAACAATTGGCACCATTTTCATGATAATATTTACATTTATATTACTACGAATGTGTCTTCTATTTAAAAGTACTTGACTGGATTTTTTTTTCTGTCTATCGTTACTGATATTTTAAACTAGTAGGCTGATTATATAAGATAGTATATTTAACATGTTTGTACTTTATCCAATTGGATATTTGAACTTCACTAAGTTGAAATTCGACGAATGCTTACCATAGTACTTATATCAACCTTTTAGATGTGTGAATCTTACACCAAATTGATTGTCTCCCTGTGTGTTCTTTACTTTTTCATAAAAAAATTGTTTGAAGTGTCCCGTTGACAGAGTATGGCTTCAAAAATCAACCAAATAGCAATATACAATAACAGAAATCCATTGTGTGTGGGAAAATGTTTTCTTTATCTCAATTGCCTTCAGGTTGACGAATGCACAGAATGTTAGTCTATTCATTGTAAGAGTTCAGTGTTTAGTCAGTTAGTAGTTTACAGACCACCAACTGTTTTACAGCTTTGGGGTAGTACAAGTGAGTTTGCTCAGAATTTGCAACTAAACAATATGAAATTAGTTGCTTTCCAGTGACGAATCAATGTGTTTAATCCTGTCCTGCAGGATGTCAGTCACCATCCGAATAGCTCATTATGTTAACTTCACTAGCTGGATGACGCAGGTCCGAATCTCTCAGTGGACATCAGTGCCCTTGAGGTTGTAGATACGTCGTACTGGTAAGTGCTAAGAAGCATGAAATCTAAGTCCAGCTCTTGCTGCCGGTTGCCTGCAACCATCTAACATCGATGAGAGTGCACCTTAATACTAATTCGTCTAACCTGGCAACAACGCTACAAATGCTCGGTAGACTTCGGCCATTACTGAGGATTGACGAACATACAGTTGGCTACTTTCTAATTTACTAATCAACTTGAAAATGAGTTTACAGATCTGTCTTGAGACAAATACAACGAAATTAGTCCCACACATTTTCTTATTATCGATAAAAAGATTTAAAATTATGACTCTCTGTGTTTGGTTACTGATTTTTTTAAAGTCGAACTGACCAACTATTGTTGTTTTATGCGTTCCTGTTTTGATGGAAATCAAGAAGTACTTTTCGTGAGTCGGATTTGCATATAATCCAATAAGTGATAACATTACAACTGATACTCGAACATATATCCATTGCTTCAGAAAACAAATTACTATCCAATTGGCTACTGAGTCAAAGAGCTACCTTTGCTCAATGATTACTACTTATTACTATTAAGAGTATTTAATTGTCTTCTGTAGAATTATTACACCTTAATGATCGATCTCTCCTAGCTTATAAATACCTCTGTGTGATCGTGTCGATGTGGCCATGATTTTCATTTCGATTTTACGATTTGATGGTGGCTAGGAGTGGAATCCATAATGTGTATTTCCTTGTATTTGAAACTTCTTAGTTCGTTCAGCTTAGCCCAACAAAAACAGTGGGTAATTGCAAACTCTGAGTAGCAACCCCTTATACCTGTTGGATGAAATTGGTCTCGTAATCCAATAACTCAGTAGATAACCCTCTCATGTTTGAAATGACAGATACTGGTTTGACTCTCAGTTGAAATATCATTCACTGGGATGCAGGCACTTCCAACTGATGAAACACAACTATGACAAAACGCACACTGTCTACATCACTATTAGTTATTTATCAGTATCTCAATCAACTTCTGTTTGTTGTTTTGCTAAAAGAAGCAATAATTTACTCCTCTATCTCTATTCGCTTTTGTGATGAACAGTACGCTACACATATTACACCTGCTTCTTGTTGTGAAAGTACTTAAATTCGTTGACCTAGATAAAGAAAGGTTTTGTAGTAACAACTATGACTGGGAGATATTCCCAAGGAAGTATACCTCGGTCTGTCCGATCGACTGTTGCTACCTTGACGTGGTGGTCGGACTTGCATATCATAATGACCCAACGAGGTATGCCGGTGGAACACTTGTTCCCTCGAGGTCCTACTATACCAGAAATATCTGTTGGATAGTGGTTAGACGAAAAACAGTTACTGTTGTAGTGTAAATTACTACACTATGATGAGGGGGGGGCTGAAGGCGAAGTCGTACTGCTGCTAGCTGGATGGCATGTGACAGCAGTAAGGTGTTTCCCTTGGATGACCTGACTAGCAGTGCTATGCTGGTGCTGCCTTCTCAGTGGAAGGGGGATTAGATAAGGTCGGCCCAAAAAAATAACACACTCCACCATGCCCCACGATCTGTCGAGCCGGCGGTATTGGTTTATTTGTCGTTTCTTTTCGACCATCCGACCCCAAAAATACAAAAGTTGAAAATAATCATACATAAAAGGCTGAGTGTGACAGACCTGAAGCAGATGTCCGATGGACTCTTGGGTCACACAAATCTCTGTCAGGTACCTTAATACGAAATAGCCTTCCACGGTGTTGGCAACTGGGAAGTGTCAACCTCCGTCACAACTCTGTCAGGACTGAAGATGATCCCTCGTTCTGTCGTAGTAAGATTGCTTCGTGCAGTTTGTCACCTGAACTCACGAAGGCTATTCTTGTTGCTATAGTGACTCACTACGTCCAGTCTTATTTCTTTTTTCCGCAGGCTACTTGAGAGTTTATTCATTACGTCAAAATACCTTAGAAACCTTTAACTACGTATATGAATTGATTTTGTCATATGATTATCTCACTAATCAAATCGTGTTATTTATAGCTTGAAGGTTATTTCTTCCAGCAACTGAATAATGATTTTGCCTAAGACTGTAAAACTTTGAAAAAAGCTAAATTTTTAAATTGGACAAACTTTATCTCAATACTACTATTTGAGATTTTCAGTATTATATTCTTTCTCTCTGCTACACTTTATTACATACTTGTAATGATAGGTGATCTTATGTCAAGTGCACGTCATCGTGTATGTAAACAATGAGTTACATTTTTAAGAGAATGTGCCAATTTGGATTCATTGAAGATGCTAATCTTCGTGTATTACTCTCTATCACTCTCTCTCTCTCTCTCTGTCACGTAAATTATTAGCTAGCTCCCTATGTATAATTCCAAATGTTACGTGAGACTAAGATGGCTTATATGAAGGTTATTGTCTCACATTATTCTTAATCTCACGACTGTCCCCGTGATTTGATGCACCAAACAAAAATCACTACTTTAAAACGATAGGTGAATTGGTAAATGTTTTCTTCTTTGTATCAAAGAAAGGATTATTTCAAGCATGACGTCGGTGTTAAGAATCGAATTCTTACAAAAATCAGGAGTCAACTTTTCCAATCATCACTAATGAGTTATAAATGGACCGATAATATAAAACATGATTGATGAAAACGTCCCCAGTTCATTGTTTCGTATTCTATGAATCATTTCACTTATTACACGTCGATCGGCATAGGAGGTTCATTTTTATTCGAACAGAATATGAAAATCTCGTTTGTTTAATTAATATTCTTGTCAACAACTTATACAGTTCAAAAATATAATTCAAGACTCCTAAGGTAGTATTCAGTCTGTCACCTGACAGTCATTAAATAAACTTTCAAAAGAAAAAATACCATGAAGATGTATATTGCAATATATTATATCAGCTTGCACAGTCATGATTTCACTATGGTTCAAGTTCTACATCTCTGTGCAGATATAATCAGCTTGATTGGCTTTTGTCAACTTCCGCTGTTTGTGACATCTCAGAGATATCATCTTAAGAGTCGAGTATACTGCGCCACAGTTCTACCATAAGTATCTTTGAAATTGACCTTAAAATTAGAGGACATGGGAGACTTCGTGTGTCCGACCACCGTTGCCTTTTTACCTTAGACCTAGCGTTGTAGTGTCACCAATGCAGTAAGTTTTAAGTCACGTGTATAATATTAGGTAGAAGAGGAAATTCAGTCAATGAGGTAGTAAACCTTCATCGACTCAGGTGGCTGAGATATGTATGACTCATTCATGGTCACTGTTTCCCTCGTCACACAATGTTAGCTGAAGTAGATTTAGGCTGCAAAAGAAGTTATGGGTGACCAGACTGAAAGCTGGTATCAGTTTTTCGATTCCCTGACTACTGGTCTGAGCCGTGTAGGGAAATGTAGACTTCGTGGTTGGGATCCGCGTGACAAGCGAAATTGATGGTTGGAGACTGTAGGTCATATAGCTCAAATTTGATCTCTTTGGTGACGATGCATGCGTGCATTATCTTTATCTTAACTGTCATACTGAACTTTGGGATCACCATTCCTTCTTTTGTTTTCTTCCTCATTTTTTTAGTTTTTTCTCGCTTGATATGGTGATAGTAGGTTGTGGTAACCTAGACACTTACACAGTAATGCCAGATCTTATGTCGATATTGTCTTAAGTCCCAGAAGGTATTTGTCAGTTCCGAAACGAACAAGCATATCTTTCTTAGATTCTGTTCAACCGAAGTAAGTTCGCAATAAAAGTATACTTTATCAGGTCCACCTAAAATAACGGTAAAGTTCAACCTTAGGACTTCGTTCCCAATTGTTCTTCATGCTGGTTCAGAAAAAGTTTTCAAACCAATATTAAGCATATGTTTATCGATGAATAGTTAGTAAAACTGGCGTATGCGACCACTGTTTATTCGTTGTATTGCATAGAATGTTTTTCTTTTGGAGTTAACTGTCATCTTAATTATTTTAAAAAGCTTTTTTTTATCTGTTCATCGGTCATAACCTTTGCAACTTTCCATTTACCGTGTAGCAATCGAAGAAATTCTCTTATCGGCCACTTCATTGAATCTCAGTCGCTTACATTCACTGAGTCAAATATCCAAACTTCAAACTGTAAATAGTCATTCAAATTCTAGTAGCAAATTGAATAGTAAATATCTGCGTTCTGTTACTTCTCAGTTGACGAACTCTGAAGACAATCATGATAACAGTAATGAAAACAAATCTCGAATAAAAATTCCAAAGTTACAAAGACAAATTTCACTGTGTTCAAATCTCTATCAACAAGTAGAGTCTTCAACAAGTGCCACCTTACAATCACCTGTTTTTAGTATTCGTAAGTGAAGTTATATCTTTTAGATATTTTTCCTTGTGGTTAGTTTTCATCGTAACTAACATAATTTGGATGGTAGTCACCATTAGTGCATTCTTTTTCTTTTGAAAATGTTGATGATTTGCCGTTGAAATGTGTCACTATCATTTTTGCGTCCCTTTGCTTCACTGTTTCCTACAAACTGGCCTACTTTCAATTCACAGTGATGCATGTGTACTCTATTGCCTAGTGCATCAAACAGAAATGAAACAGGTATCCAGTAATTGGCTGATTTCAATCAATTCTTTGCTAGCCTTGTCTGTTAGGGTTTGAAATCTACACTGACCTGTCGAGTCATACTTTTAGGCAGCTATCAACAATTTGTATCCTCTGGCTAAAATTCTCTAAAGCCACTTTTGAAGAAATAGTTTTATTGTATAGACATAGAACACTTCCATTCACATTTTAATCTCAAGTTCTACGTTCGTATATATATATATATATATATATATATATATATATATATATATATATATATATATATATACATAATTCGTGAGGAGGATTTAATTTTAATAATGGGGGTTGAAATAATAACAATGGTGGTTATTATAAACATCTAAACCATAGTTCTTACGAATGTCGCGGAAGAAGTTTAGCTCCGAGTCTGATTGAATCATTATAAGAATATATTTTATTATAATTCCAGGGTGTTTAGAAAATCAAAACAAGATATTTCTGAACGTTTTACTGTGTAGGCCACGGCTTCAAGAGAATAATGGTGGTTATTGTTATTAGAATGCTGCTAGTTGATGACATAAAGGTCGAATGATAACAAAAAGGGTTGCGTAAGATTCTAAATAGTGTCTAAGGTGCATACAGATTAAAAAGGGGTGAAAATGTGATAGAATTAATAAACAATCAAAGGATTAGGTTGATATCAGTGAAACAAGTTAATTGGAATAAATTGAAAATGTTTTGTTAAAAGTCGAAATTATTAGAAGGATCAAGTGAAAAAATGGTGGTGAAAAACGAAAAAGGAACTATGCACACCAAGACAAATAAATTAAGACCAAGGTTAGAGACTAATACTTCTTCTGCACACAAAGATCAAGCTTCAGTTCATGCATAGCCAAGAAAGACCTATGCTGTTTTTAGAAGTTGAACACAGAGGAAACGTCAGGTGTTCTAGTGAATTCGGTAGACAACCTTAAAGTCATTGTTTGGATCGGTTGAATGGGTGGAATCGATTAAATGCTCAAGATTAGAACTTCTGGTGCATTTTCTTTCGCTCTTATAAAATCAGGCCTGAATGTGTTCTCGTATCCGTGTGTTTATTAACTGAATCACGTTTTCACCCCTTTTTAATGTATATGCACCTTGGAAACTATTTAAGATCTTACATAACCCTTTTTGTTATCATTCGACCTTTATATCATCAACTAGCAACATTATAATAACAATAACCACCATTATTATTATTATTTCAAACCCCATTATTAAGGTTAAATTCTTCCTCACGAATTACATTTTGATCTGTTTATTAGAAATGTCACACATTGAAACAGTATCATTTACTGGATAACATTTCAGACATAATTTCTTGTCCATATTTATATCATATCATTCATACCAGTTGCATTCACAACTGAACTTACTGTTGTTCTGTTTATCATTATGGATTTCGTTAAAAAGTTTCAGTTCTATCGAATGTTGTGTTGAATTGACCTGGTTTATTTTCATTTTATCTTATTTAACAAATAAAATTATCAGTAGTTGTCGTCATAACCTTAAAAACATACCCACAGATTGTTGGTGATGGAACAACCCTGCTTCTTTATCATCGCCATTTTGTTTATCTATATCACTGAATGCCTTAGATAACCTGTAGTCTAACTTGATTAATTCCCATGAAAATGTGTACTGTTTCTATGCACAAATGCATTTTGCACATTTCTATGTACAAATGACTCAGTGGTCCATCAAATGATATACAGTACTCAACTGCTAATTTTATCTCTACTTCGTTTCAACCAATTCATCCAATCAGTTCTAATGAACATTGGTATTATTGGTATTATTGCGTAACGGTCCAAGTTGACACACCTCATATCAACACATCAATCGAGAAGACAATCAGATAAAAGATGAAGAAATAAAGTAGAAAGTAGTCAAAATAAATTCAAAGTCATGAGAAGGGAGGAACTGCTGATAGAACAATAAGGGAACTCCCTATAAAGATAATGACGGAGATAATATATATGGATGTATCTCCACCTCTGAGATCAAATCTGAACCATACCACCTACAGTCACACAAACTCCTACCACAAAGTCTACATTCCCCTACACAGCTCAGATCAACACTCAGACACTTCATGAACTGACACCAGGTTTCACTCTGACCACCTTAAACCTTTCCTCCAGCCAAAATATACTTCAGTTAACTTTGAAAACAAGTCAATATACACATGAGAACAAGAATGTTTGTTACTTTGGATTGTGTTCACTGGTCTGCACACTTAAATTGAAATGAATAGTTGATAGGTCATTGGTGAGAGTTTTCTTGCACTAATAAGTATTTTAGACTTCTCTCTAATCCTACACAACTATTTATGAAATATAGTCAAAATGTGAATGTGTGCATCATTTTCACATCAATGATGGGCTGTCTAAGTGGATGGATGATATTGTCTTTGATATATTCAGACTTCTTGCCGATTATCATCGTATGCTTTTCACGTATCATTATAACACGATGGACTGACTGAAGAGTCAAAAAGGAGAGATATGCTTGACTAATTCTCACTACATCTTCCGATATCTACACCACTAATGACTAGTGTTTGTGTACAAAAAGCAGTTGTGACAGAAAATGTGTTAGCTGGATAAAGATTAGCTATTCACTCGACACCTTCAGCCCAATCAGTTTGTTGCAACAAATAAATAAATAAATAAATAAAGATTCGAAATTGGTGGAACCTAGTTCTAATGGAACTATCCTTGGATACACACGACTTTACAGAGATTCATCTACTAGTTGGAGAAGATGTGGTTGACTTTGTATATGAGGACGACATGGTCGTGTTATGCGAAGACGCTGACGAAATGCAGAGTTTTGTGAACGCCTTGTGAGTATGTTTGGGTTGGGTAACATGAATTTCGCAGATGTTAAGTGTAGGATGATGCTTCAGGACTTGTGTGCATCCACTCGGAGTTTCAGGATAAAGAGTGAAGAGTGGTGGAATACATCGACCACTTGACTTACTTGGTGAGTTGCATCAGGTGGAATTGGCTGGTTGCTGACTAAGTCTGAAGTCGGATACAGAGGGCTCGTTTGTCATTTGTCAACTGGTGAGTTAACTGACTGTTTGTTGATGGTCGTGTCTACTGCGGTGTTGGCTGTTCCATCCTGTCATACGACTTTGAGGCCTGCAGTTAAAAGTAGGAATGGCTGCAAGTAATTGATGTTAATTGTCTTCGTACCATTTTTTTGGTACAGTGGATTCACTGTGCGAATAATGTTGATGTTTGGCGAAGTGTAATAGACAAGGCAGGCAATTCAGTCAATGAGGTTGTGAATTTTCTTTAACTGAAGTGACGTAGATGTGTTAGGCATGTTTTGGCGCATCCCGTCTCGAATTGAAACACCAGCCGAAGTGAGATCAGTTTAAAAGAAGGTTCAAAGTGGCGAAATCACTATGTGGCACGAATGTCTGAAGTCTTTTATCTAGGGCTTGATATGTTTACGTCTCATGTCTGTTTTTCGAGCCAACTGAACCAAATGTTGGCTATTCTTGATGAGATTTTTGAAAATTGGACACCATGGTCGAAATGTCTGTGTCCACGTGAAACTCTTGAAACTCTAGTCAATTGTCATCCTTTTATTCCGTCTGATCATGCGCATTTGCGCATTTTAGAATCTCATTTTGTGTACATGTCTGCCTTGTATGTTATTGTGAATCGTTTCATTCGAAACGATCAACTTCTTTACCAGGTTCTATTTTAATTTTTCTCTCTGCTCACTTCAGACGACACTCTATCTTTACTACGTGTGTACATATCGACAAATAATTTCCAATTATCTTGCGTAATGTGAAGTAAAAATCCAGCATGCACTTGCATGAACTATAAACTGCACACATTGTATATATGAGTGCTAATTATGATACCTAACTTTACAAACTTTGGTATATGAAAGAGAATCCATACCCATTACTTGTTGGTCAAGTTCTAGTATAACGTATATTTCTTATATGCTTATGAGCTGTTGAACAAATTGCCTTCAGATCTTCCTCCTAATGGTCTCTTGGTGCGTTGAATACAGATGAAGGCATTTTCTGTTGATTATGTTGTACCAACCAATTTTACTTTCGCGCTTATGATCATGTGGATTTTCCCGAAAATTTGGTGTGCGTTGATTGGGTGTTGCTCCTTTCCGGGATCGAGGTATCTTCTCGATACTGCTGCATACTGAAATATCTCACTCTTAAGAAATGGACTGCAAGTGTGAGGATACTTTTGTATTCACTTGAATTTTCTTGAAAGTTTTCCTGAGTCGAAGTTTTCAATTTCGTTGTGATCTGTAGTTTGCAGCATTCTTGAACTTTGTTTTATTGTGTAAATGGTGTGGGTTGGTTTTTGGTGAGTTTGAGTTGTGTATTTGCAGATCTAGAGGTAATTTGGGAAAGGTTTCGTTTTCCAGTCTTTATGAAATCTGTACCGTATTCAATTTACATTGCTACTACAGACTTCTTAGCCGATTTCCACTTCACAAAGTACCTTCCTTATTATTGATTTGATTTTTCCAGTTTTCCAGGGACCTTAGTCATGGTAGGTTCAGACTACAACTTTATTATCGCAAAAGGATTTTCGGCCGTAGTACTGTGATTATTTTCATTTTGATCAAGTTGTAGTTAAGAAGTACAAACGGTTATTATCCTGCTCCCTAACACTCTTTCACCGATGATTCCTTATTTGGCATATTTGCGTTCGGTATGTATCTGTATATCAGTATGTAGCTGGCAGTGATATTGTGTGTCGAACCTCCCCCTTCCCCTTCTTATGAAGCTCGTTTAGCTGTATCTACGGATTTTTCTACGTGATCATTTAGTTGTGGATGGTAAGATGCAAAAAATAGATGCTACAAAAACTATTTGTTAACCATTATCCTCTATCAAAGTTTCTGGCAAACTAAAACAACTAAAAAACGACACATTTTAATAATTGAGGTCTATGATAAATTTCAGGCCATTTGACGTGTCTGTCAGTAATAATAATTTGCATTACTCCTTGTTCGCATCCTTTGAAGTTTGAATGCAGTCCTTGGCATGGCATTTTGGCCATTGTTTATTGGTGTAGAGGGCACTGTTGTATTTCGCGCTGCTAGTGTGCAATTTGGGTAACTTATTTACGTTCTCAGTCTATTAGTGTGCAATAGGCCAATGTCCATAACCACGTACCTGTGATTTAATCTGATCGATACCTGAGTGGGCAGCGTAAAATTGCTTCAGTTCTTGCTGACTAAGACTCGGTTGACAGCCCATCACGGCAGTGATATTATCGATCAAGAACATCGACACAACAAGAATCCCCTACTTGAAACCAAAGGCTGTTAATAAGTATTTTTGGTCAGTTAACACTGTGAATTACTGTCCGAACATCATACTTTGGAACTGCTTTTTCGATGTGACTGTAGTTGTGTTCTGTGAGTATCAACGTTCAGAAGGCAAGGACAATAGCTCTTTTCCGAACCATATGGGAAAACATACGGTGACACCGCACCAATGCCATAATCCGAAGCATCTAATATGAACAAAATGGCCAATACTAGTATGTGAGATGTATACTTGAGTAATGTTTTGATTTTGCCATATTATTTCTAACTATCAGCTTACCAATTCCGTTTTGGATTGTTCATAAACAATAAATTCAAAGATCTATGTAGATTTTAAAAATCAGGTAGAAAAACATCATAATGACCTACTAGCCTGAGAAATAAACTTAGTTTTTGACCTTCGTTAGATGTGGCACACTTTTCATTGCTTTTGTAATAGCTGAATTCGAGTGTCTCCCATTTCTCTCCTCGATAAAACCAAGGCAATTAACTCGTTCTCTACGAAGTGCACATTTCTCTGCGCAAAGCTAAAATTACTAGTTTATCCCACTTCCTAAAAGCAAGTCGCGTTTGCAAGTTAGATTTTTTTGTTTTCATTATCACTGTTTTCTTCAAGTACACTGCTGAGTTAGGTATATAAAGTAGCATTGTATCCATAACCTGCTGAACTTTGGCCTACACCATTTTCGCACCGAGGAGAGGACAGCTTTGTCTGCTTAAATGTTTGTGCATGTTAGTGACTAAACGTTTCTTACACTTCTCTTCTACTAAATTTTGTAAGTATGCCTTAGACAGGTCCAACACAGTGAAGTACTTACCATCATTCAATTTAATAACGAAATCTTTATGTACTAACAACTGATTTTAATCGTTTTTCAAGGACCTCTTTCAGTCTTATAAAGTGATCTGGACAAAGACTAGTAGTACCCTAGCCTTTTTCACAACTACTGTTTGATCTACCTATGATTAGAATCCCACCGGTTTAATCACGATAAATTTCTGAATACGTTCGTTATATATTTTTTATTGAGATGCCGACCTGCCTCTATGCGTCACCGTTATCTCATTTACTTTCGACTGCTTAGACTTAAACCTCCCAGGCCATACTTGTGGTTGATGATATCGGTGTTTACATTTACATTAGTCCTCTTTGTGACGTTTCCTTAATTACTTAATGCAACAGTGGTGTTAAAAGAGACAGCGTCTCACAAAGTATCAGCCATCATTGTGCCAACACCTAAAAGTTACTTTTGAATGTGGCTATCATCTGCCTGACTAGACCGATAAACCCAAAAGCAGAAGTACGCTTCATAAATAAATCCATTGATAAACGTATAAAGCACATTTATTGTATATAACAGCTAACACCAATACACCATCTGACCTGCAGAACCGGATTTCAACTATTGGCTTAATCGTGTTCACTATATAGTTTATAAGCCATTGAACCAGAATTCTTTACTAAAACCACATATAAACTGTTCATAGATACTTCAGTTCATCATCACTCTGGTCGCTTAACTTGTTGGTAATTGTGTTTATGTTTGCATCCGAACATGTGTTTTTATTTAGCTTCCGATTCGGAAAGTGAGCTAACACCAAATACGCATCTCACTGAACAATTAGATTATAACAAGTTCGCTGGTATCTCAGACAATTTAAAACAAGTAAGTTATAATCTAATTCGATTCGTTTTTCGTCTTTGTTGTCGTTGTTATCACTAATAAACCAGTAATAATTTAAATTCTGTAGAGAGTGTAATTTTATTTCAGTGTTTCGTTGATTTAATCTGATAGGTAGTGTGAGAAAAAGGAATTGTTTGGTTTTTATTTTTGACAAAACAAGATTGTCCCTATGTTAAATACTTGTTCCTACATCAAAAAAAATATACTGTTTATACTTAACCGAAAATACAATTTCGCGTTCGGTTTTCAGTGTTGTAACACCATGTCTCTGTGGTACATTTGAATTTTCTCACATGCTGGTATTGTACTGCCTTATTGTCTGCTGATATCTTATCTGGTAAAATGGTAATTCCTAGTTAATATGGCAAAACCTGCTTATTCATAATATAACGGGAAATTTTAATGGTTTGGTTTTCTTCAATAGAATTCCTTCACCAAATGCTGGTTTTTATACTAAAACATAAACCGTACTTAAGTTTTGAAATATCCTGATAGCAGTGGGTTGCTAAAGTATTGCGCTTTAGATAATGAGCCACATCCAAAACTTATTGGTTGCCATAAATTCTCCATTTCATTAATTCACTCTTTACCATTAAAGTTTTAAAATTCATCGAGTATTCTCTAACTACTCTTAGCTTTATCTTCGTGAATAAAATGTAAGAGTCCCGATCGACGGCCATCATCCATCCGTGCAGATCAACCTAGGACCAAGAATTACTGCCTAACGGTTCGAGTTGTCACACCTCTTATCAGTAGATCAAATAAAAAGGCAATTGGGTGCAAGATGAATATACGAAAAATTCACTCAAAAAGAACATAAGGTAATCAGAGAAAGAAAGGAAGAATGAGAAAATGGTGTCGTTAAAATGAGAATAATGTATGTATACATCTGCGCCACTGACATCGGTTCTCAGCCATATCACATAAAGTCTCCAACCACTGGTTCCTCTTGTCCTGCAGACCCCAACCACCTAGTCTGCATCGCCCCACATGGTTCAAACCAACAGTCAGGGACTTCATACATTGGTGCCATGTTTTAGTCTGGCCACCTCGGGCCTTTATCCACCCTGGACCTACTTCAGCCAATATTGTGTGACGAGTCATTCGGCGACTAGGCATACATAACACGTGTCCCAACCATCTCAATCGATGAAGGTTCACAACCTCGTCAACAGATATACCTCTACTCCCTGACGTCTGCGTTACTCACTCGCGTGGTGACACCACGGAATACGGTGGCCTATACTACGAAGGCAACGGTGGTCAAACACCTGAAGCCTTCTCCTCATGTCTTCCACCTTCAATGACCATGTTTCACAGCCATACAGTAGAACAGACCGGACTGCTGTGCAGTACACGCGACCCTCAATAGACAATCGGATATCACGGTAGAGCCATAGGTGGGGTAAGTTGGCGAAAGCCGATCGAGCCTTCTGTATCCGTGCAGAGATTTCATCGGCCACTGAGCCACCAGGGCAGGGCTGATCCTACTTCCCAGGTAAGTGAAGTGGTCAACACACATTCAACCACTTCACTCTCTATTGTTAGCCGTGGTTGGGCACCGTTGAAGACCAATCCTGGAGCAGCAATTTGCATTTGGGTGGTGAAATTCGCATCCCAAACATTCTAAAATTGACACTCAAAGTGTTCAGAATACTCTGCATCTTGTCAGCGTCTTCACCTAACAGGACTATGTCATGCCATCTGCATATTCTAGGTCTAACGAAAATTCTCCTGCGATCAGGTCAACGTCTGTGTAGTCAGGTGACGAGAGGGAAACCTCTATGAGAATATCTATGATGAAATTGAATAAGAATGAAGATAGTGGACACCCATGACGGACACCACTCGATGAGTATAGCTCCCTGGACATCTCACTGTAGGCTTTAACACGTCCGCAAGTGTTCGAGTAGAGAGCCTTCAATAAGGTGATGCACTTACTCGGCATGCGTTTCAGTGAGAGACATTGCCATAAGACTTCTCGATCATCGGAGTCGAATACCGCCGCCTTCAGGTCGAGAAATACAGCCATTGTCGGACGTCGGTAAGCGTGTCTGTGTTCCAAGACCTGGCGAAGTGAATATTTGGTCGATACACCCGCGACCAGGTCTAAATCCTGCCTGGTTTTCTCGGGCTTGTTGTCCCCGAGCTGCACTCAGGCGTCGAAGAATTATAGAACCTAGAATCTCAGACACTATGTTCGTCAGGCTGATTCCTCTGTGGTTATCACAAGAGGACTCCTACCTCATCAGGTAGTCCGTCTGGACCTGCTGCCCTTCCTCGTTTCAGGTTACCTACCACTTTCTCAACTTCTCCTAGTGTTTGGAGACCTATCTCTATGTCCCATTCAGGATCCGACTGGATAGCGGGCAACGCGATGGTGGCTGAAGGCCAGTTAAACTGTTCCTCGAATTGTTCTGCCATCGTTCTAGTTGTCTCCTCTGCGAGTGAATCGCAGACCCGTCCTTCTCCGCAATCGTCTCACTAGCTGCAGTCGATCTTTTTCCCCAGTTTCCTTACTAAGCCTAAATAAGTGTCTACTGTTACCAATCGCCGCTGCCTTTTCCATCTCTCTAGCCTTTGCTGCCCACCACTGTTCGCGGTCGTTGCGTAGACGTTTTCTCGACGGCTGCTACCTTGATATTGCGATTGTGCTTTCATACCACAATGATGTAATGAGCTATGCTGGTAGCTCTTCTAAACCGGGCAGGTCAGTTGGATGGTGGTGAGATAAAAAGCGGTCACCGCTGTAGTGTGATGGGACGGCCGAGAGGGAATTCGCACTTGTAGCTTGACGGCGATGTGAGAGCAGTAAGGTGTTTCCTGTGGCTAAGCAGCAGTACCACGCCTATGCTGCCTTCCCTCTGGATGAGGGAGGGGGAGGGGTTAGAAAACATTGGTCTTAAAAAATAACACTCTCCCTTTTACCCATTCCCTGCTGATACTGTTGATACAGCTTCATGGTCGGATTCTGACAAAGGGAACTAAATTCTCAAACTTTTAGAAAGGCGTGTGTGACCGTCCTCAAGCAGAAATCCCTTTTGCGGTATAGCCAGCTGAAAATAACTAATGCTGCTAGTAGAATACAAAACATTATACAAAATGGCCTGCACTCCCCTACCTTCTTGATACCAATATTAAGCTTCTTACAATTTATTCGATCTCTCACTCTGCAACCACTGTTAGTGATCCAGGCTAGCGAAAAGCCATTCCTAGTCAGCAGTCTCTCGAAACGCCTCTGTCAGTTTCACACCAGATCCTCCAAAGTGTGGACCCTATGGCCAATCAGACAGCAGGCGTCTCTTGTCAGAACTTTGGGATCTCGAGTCATGAGTGTATGATGTCTCTGAAACACTTATAAAGGGCCCGAGCGGGGTTATCAAATTGCATTCACCAGGACGCTGCCGCGAACTTTCAAACTTCACCCTACGAGTACTTGGAGACCCAAAATCTTCCTCTTGTGGGTTCACTGGTATAGACATAGCTTTGAGCTGTTGAATGGAAAGTGCACTTCTCGACTGGGATACCCGTCAATAGCCGTCAGTGTGCTGTCCGATTGAATGAATCTGTAAAAACTAGGAAGTATCGGATAGCCAACCGATGCCTTTGCATAACTTCTACCTACGCGCCCACTGACTGCAGTTCGGATGATGCAAATGGATGAATTCTATGAGAAGCCATCAAGTTAGCTACAGAAAGTAAAACGTTCAGATGTAGTCATAATTGTGAGTGAATTCAACGCTCAAGTAAGAAAGCTGAGCCAATTGGAAAGGCATCTTGGCGGTATCTACGACATCCCATTTCAATGAACTAACAACTATGATCGGCTCTTACAATGCTTTCCTGTTGGACAATTACTTGTTTCTGTTCATCACTAACTTCAGTCACAAGGTGGGACACTGTCTCATATGTCGCTCGCCGACATCAAACCAATGGTGGACACTGATTGGTCATACTGCCATACCAAATCATTCGAGAGGGTCAATAGAGGATCCCTGCCCTTTCTGGAGTACCAGTTTGGACTCCGAATACGCGCTACTACGGGCTTCTGTTTGTCTGCACCTTACCGGTCGCAGGAAACACGCCTGTCCATGCTCGATTGAATGGTGATGAAGGATAACGAACGATGAGGACATCAAGTATGTATTTAGGGAGGAGTTGGCTAAGCACTGACCTGTACATGACACCAGTGCTCATCCTCAAGCAATGATATTTGATGTGCTGTAGAATAACCAGTAAAAACAGTTGGTGGTAAGCTATGTGCAAAGGTCACTAAACGCATATGGATTTCCGAAATCTCACCGTAACTGATTGATGCAAGTAGACTCATCCTAGCTGCCTCTGACGACGATGGAGAGCGAAGGCAGTTTGAGCATAAATTGACTAAGAGTCTTCGCAGTGATCTCAAACAGTGGTGGATGACGAACGCAAGAGGGGTGGAGAAAGGACCGGCATTAGGTAATATCTAGAAATTATTTAGGCTCATTAAGGATACCGGCAAGATGATACTGAGTAAAACCATCACTGAAAAGGATAAGACGCTGATATCCCCTTAGGTGGATAGAACATTGGACAGAACACTTTGAAACACAGTTAAACTGGAGGTTGATGTAGATCTTTTAACTATCCTAGAAGTTGAAAAGGTTGTTTCGAACCTGAAACTACGCAGAGCAGCAGAACTAGCTGGTTATAAATTATAGGCATATTTACCAGCGATTGATACTAGCCCTATTTTTGAACTAAAGACGGTGCTCCACTGTTTTGACTGAAGGATGTTGGAGCAGTGTCTGACTGTGAATGGAGTACCCAGCAAGTATGTAACACAGTTTGAGATTTCACTCCAGTTTTCATCTCAGCTCCAAGTTTCATGCCGGTCTTTAGATCAATGAACTGTCCAACACAAACCTGGTGGGTTTGTCACCTGGACGAGCCTAAAATATACAAGCAACGCGTTCATGTGGAAATGAACACTCCTGCTGGGG